TTAAAGCTGAGGCAGCACAACCAGAAACGGAGTCAGTCCCCATGCTGTGGCACTCCAAGATGGGACCTCTCTGGAGCTGCCAGCACGGTGCATGTTGCAGAACAAGTCTGCACCTCCCAGCAGGCCAAGTCTGCCCTTTCCATGTCTGCTGGGCCTGGCCAGAGGTATGTGCCTGGAAGCGTGAGCCAGTGGAAGACAGTGGAAGGAGATGGAGGAAAACATACATTCTGTATACGGATCTTCCCATATAGATTCAGAGCACAAACCCATTTGTTTCTCCTTTCTGTTCCACTGAACAGTTTGTAGTTAAACTCCTGCAGCCGTCCATACGGCATCAGATCATTCAGCTGAGAGCACCTTCCATGACACAGAAGATTATTCAGAGCATACTGGCTCCAGGATACAGGTGATACTGCACAGTCACTGGGGTAGAGTGACGTGAACCCAGGACACAAGTAGGCTTGTGCTTTAAAGCAGAGGCATGTAACCTGAACTGGCAATTACTGTCCTTTTCCTCCAGGAAAGTGCAAAGCACTCCCCAGACTCCCATGGACTGTTCAATTAATTCAATTCTATGTGGTTCAGAGGACAGATTCCACTCTGATTAAAATAAGATGGGCATTATTACTGTCATTGTTCCCACTCTCCTGCCCAGGTAATACAGGTGTGTATCTTAATTCTTAATTCATGACAAGAAATTTTCAGTCATTTCACAAGGCTATCAAATCCAACACGTTGCTCCTACGCAGAGGGGAAAATATCCTATTCTTCATTCATCGTGGTCCCTGAAAATAAAGCAGTATGTAGCACAATTAGACCAGCACATAAAAGAGTAAATCACAAGGCTTGGAGCAGGGCTCCTAGGTAGTCTGGTAATTTAGGCAGTAGTGCTTCAGAAATATCAAACTGTTTATGAGATGTCAGATGAATGCCAACACTAACACTATGGTACCAACATCTCCTCTAGGGCATGCTAGGAGTAGCACCCATAAAAAATAAGACTTCCGCTTTCCCTAGCCACATCCTGGAGTAACATCTTATCTCTCTAGTTATTATATTAACACCAATATAATCTCCATAACGTCAGCATTATTTAGGCTTGCAAAAGATCAATTCCAAATTCCACACAAGGGTAGACAGAACTCCAAAACTGGGCTTTGCATTCACCATGCCATGCTTCCATGCAAACAAACAACAACAACAAAAAATCAGATAAAACCTCAAGAATTTTTATTTCTGGAGAAGTGTTTTTGTTTCCTTAGAAATTGCAAAGATACTCTCTCCAGGAGAGCAGGGGAGAAAAACAAAACAAAAACAAACAAGCAAAAAAGCCTGAAATATTTCTGAGCAATTTTGTTCCATATAAACACAAACGAAGTCATGTATTTCACTCCCATGCACGTACAAAAACATCTTAAGTAAAATATCTTTCACACATAACATAAGCATTAGTGTCAGAATTCAGCATATAATCAGATTGGCCTCACCTACCCCATCTAATCTTATTTTCCTATTTTCTTTTTCAGTTGTAAATTTCTAAGCAGGGAACATCTCTTTTTCTGTACAGCGTTATGCATATTCAAATTAGCATGAATAGTCTCGGAATTAAATCACTAGGTAGCATGGTCTGACCTACGCTAAACTTTTCACATTGACAGTGAACTTTGTTGGATGCCAGGTAAAACTTCTCAAAGGAATAAAAAGGGAAACAAATATCATGCCCAGCACTCTCTCACCCGCAATCCTCTATCATTCCCATGCAAAATACTTCAAAAGCCTAGTAATTCATGGCAAAATAAATCTCTAAGGACATCAGTGCTGCTGGACATGGATGCATTAAACCCTCCATATTCCAATTTTCCATTCATTCACCTTAGGAAAGGGAAGGGATAAAGATGAAAGAATGAACAAAATAGTAAACTTCTGAGGCAGATGGGTCAGCAGAGCACTTTACCAGGGACCAGAAAAAAAAGAACCAACTGTGAGAGCAGAGCTTCATTCCAAGCCACTGTGTAATCTCAGTGTAGCTTAAAATTTGGGGATTACATGGTCAATGAACTTCTCACTAGCTCCTCACACCTAGTAAAATCTTATTTCATTCGTCAGAAGAGCATACTGTCTGTATCTGAGCTGGTGTGCTAGATTTGAAATTTCACTATTTCATGCATGATGTACAGCGCTGTAAATTCCAAGTCTGCAAACGTTCAGAAGGGAAAGGCTCACCTACAAGGTAAAGCTTCCATATGCACAAAAGAAAACATCCAGTGCACAAAAGTCAAAAGCAACACAGCATAATGGGAAACAGGAGGTACAGATTTAACTCTGCCATCACTTTTTACATGTACAAACCATGCTGATGCATTTCTAATCCCTGCATAAACAAGCTTCCCAAAGAGAATCAATAACACATCTCCCTTATACTGCAACAACACAGCTGAATCAATAGAGGGCTCAGGTTTGGCTTGTAGCATGTGTATAACAGGGCGAAGTGAGTGTGGAAAGGGGATATGACATACGAAAGCACGATTAAAAGTAAGACAGAGCATCTGTACTTGAGCAATATAAAGAAAGCACTTAAGACTGAGGCTTAAGCGGTTTAACTAAAGCCATGGAGAGCAGCAGATTTTTAGCCCCTCTGAGATCTTGCAAATGAGCAAGCCATGCTGACAGCAGCCACTCTGTCCTCTAGCTCCTGAAAATGGTGCAAAGGACTTTGCTTATGTGTCCTAAATTCAAAAATATTTCACAACAGTTTGGCAAATGCTTCATGTACAGTTGTTCTAATGCGGTATTAAGGACAGACCCAAGAGCCAAACCACGCTGAACCTCAGGACCCTGGTATAAGCACATCCTGTGTGCTGTGGAGAACCCTGGATCTGCTGTTTGAAGTAAGATGAGCATTCTGCTTTTAGACCAGTACTACAATTTCAATGATAAGCACTACTGGATGTGTAGAAGAAGACAAAAAATATCTGCCTAGCAGGAAGACAGGAAAGGCTGAATTCAGATTGCTTCACTAATATCGATGGAGTGGATGCCTTTAGCTGAGGTAATCAAGTTCAATTCACTTTATTGGCGCATCGTGGAAAAATAGATACTTCTAAAACAACACTCTTCTGACCTCCTTTAGACTTCTACTTCTAGGTCAGACCCATGTTGACCTAAAAATGACTGTATGCTTTCAGCTGCAAATAGGGCCCTGAGCAACAAATTCAGTTGCAGAAGTCTAAAGTTCAGTCAGAGGACACCATCTAAAATGCTTTCCTTGTACTACGGCAGTCAAATAGCACAGCTGTCCTATACTTGTTTATAATAAGCTGCTTTGTTTAAAACAAGTATAATGTAGGTCACTAACATTTCAGTGCGCACAGAAGCATATTCCAGCCAGCAACAGTCATACTCCAATGGAAGAAAAGCTCACAGCTCTAACAAAACTCTCTAAAGGAACAAAGTATCTTTTTAAATAGTAACTAAATCTCACAGACTTCTAAGTAGCAAATACTATTATTCTTTTTTTTTTTACAGTTGAGAAAACAGGGGCCTTGCAGTTTTCCTAATGGTGACTCAGAGGGAATCAAAATAAAGATTTCCTGATACACTGGTCCTCTGTTCAACTACTGACTAGACTTCAAAAAGCTAGAATTTACCTCCCAGGAGGAACCCTTAAAACTGCAATGGGCAATTTTAACTCCAATGTCCATAAAAGCCTGTAGCTACACATTCTTATTAGACATAGAGGAATTTAATGTTAGGCTTCCACTTCCGCAAAATGGAAGAGAAATACAGTTTGGAAAAAAGAACTAAGACTAGGCATGTTATAAGGAAACAGGAAAAAAAATACTATGCCTGGAGCTCATCCTTTCAAAAGATAAACTTGCAATACTAAGGACAAATGGGAGGTCTGATAAATCTCCCTCAAACATCCCAGTGGGTTACAGGTATAAAACCAGTTTAAGTGACTGTTCATTCTTGATTCGTGTTCATGCTAGCTTCTTTTGAGAGAGATACTCACTGAATCAAGATAAAGACTGAGTTGATCAACTGAGGACTGTGCAGAACAAAAATTGTCATCAGTCAGCTGAGCCATAAAAGCAAGCAGTAAAACAGATTCTGCTTCAGACTAAGTTGTCAAGATAGCAACTGGCCTGAAGTGGCTACACTCAATCCAGTAGGAGTGAAGGAAAAGTTTGCACTGACAGAGTACACAGAAATGTACACAGAAATGTACACAGAAATGTACACAGAAATGTACACAGAAATGTACACAGAAATGTACACAGAAATGGGAATGAGAATGGGCTGGCCGGGAGGGATATAAAGACACAGTCCAAGCATGAAGGGAGAGAATTAGGGAAGGCAAAGTTCAGCTGGAGTTGAAACACACAGAAATGCGAAGAAGGGCTTTTCCACGTGCAACGGAAGCAAAAGAAAGGTTGAAGAAAATGCAGGTTTGCTGTTCGACAACCTGGAAACAAAGGTTGCAATTTGAGACTGATGTACTCAACACAAGTATACATTTTCACTATTTAGGTCTGCCCCCTTGGGTCTACTAGAAGAGTGCAAGGGGACAAGGTATTAAGTAGAGCAAAGGAAGAATGAGTTAGCAGGAACTTCAGCCAGCTAGACGTTCTCAAGTCCATGTAAACAGACAAGATGGATCTGAAGGCACCAAAGGAGCTAGCTGATGGCACCGTAAGGCCACACTCCAGCATCTTTGCTAGACCATCATCATCAGTGAAGGCTCTCCCCCCCGTAAAATTACTCAACTTGAGACTGTCTTGCTGCCTGCAACAGTTGACAGTTGTGTGGCCAGAATGTTGAAATTATTATTTCTCTCTATATTGTATTTGTGAGACCTTATCTGGAGGATGTTATCCACTTCCACGGTTCCTATTACAATAAGGGCACTGCAGCAATTTTGTTGGAAAGTCACTGAGATGGGTAGGGGACTGTAGCACACGGCAAGGAGAGGCTGAAGGAGCTTGGTTTTTACAGATATAAGAGATCTCATTGTCTACAACCACTTCATATGCAGATTAGAGAAGAAAAAGTCAGACGGAACTCAGAGATGAACAGTGATAGAAAATGAAACAATGAACACAAGTTGAAACATGAAAATTCCAGCGGATGTAAGAATAATCTTTTTCCTATGAGGGTAGTCAAATGCTGGCAAATGTTGCCAAGAGAGCATTCACTATCTTTTTTCACTCACCATTCTTGTAGATATTCAAAACTCAATGAGACAAGGCCCTGCAAAACCTGTTCTATTTGCCTTGGCTGGACTAGAAAGCTCCAACCCAAATTATTCAATGATTCTGTGACTTAACAAATCTCCTCACGGCTGTTTTCCACTTGTAACTTCCTCATTAGTCTGCCAAAGCAAGCCATGACACCATCAAATGCATCCAGTTATCTTCAGTCTCATGAGTCAGGATGGAACACAGAAGCCAGCTATGAGGAGAGATGAAGTGCACTACACATCAAATCTCTCATAACAATTTCATGCAAGCCTCCTCATACACCAGGGCCAGCCCCATTTATACATCACAGCCATCATAGAACTCTCTTGGTTTGTTTCAAGTCCATCAGAACTAAATAAAAAGGCCCCCTCTCTTCACATCTTCTTCATCTTTTTCTTGCAGCGCTGGTTGAAGACAGGTGAGGATCCCATCAGACTGTCAGCAGAATGAGAACCATAGCTGCTCTCAGAACCATTGGGACTCTGTGCTATCCCAGCTTCACTCATGCCTGACATAGGCTCCTCAAAGACATCACTGCCTAGGACTCCATGGCCATGTACATTGGCCTCCTCATTTTCCTGTGGCTCCATTTTCACCTGTGCCAAGTTCCAGAGTGGGGAAGCATTTACCTCAGCCCCTGGAGAAAGAAAAAGCATACATTAACAACCAAGTGAAAAAATAAACTACAAACAGTAAGCGGATGCAAGGCACAGTGGCACCAGTGAAGAAGTAAAAGCAAACCTACAGCTGAAATTATCTAGAGAATAACCACCAACCAGTGTGAAAGAATAAATTGAAAAAAAAAAATAAAAATCTGTCAGCTTTTTTTTTTTGTGAAACAGTAAATTAAAAAAAAAATCTGTTAGCTTGTTGTTTGTTTGTTTTTTAATAGCCCAGTAATCCCAGCTCTAAAATATATGATGCTATGCTTTCAGAGCAAATACAATGCTATTCACTGTGTGGCTTCTTTCATGAGAAATAACAACTTAGAAATAACAAGGAAGGAGTGTCTCAGCAGCAATGAGTATACCAACAGCACATTGACAATACACTGTACAAGTAGGACTTAGAATGGAACAGAATGGTTGTAAGGGACCTTTAAAGATCATCTGATCCAACCACTTGACCTCTTCACGGCTAGCTAAAACTTAAAGTATATTAATGAGGACATTATCCAAACAACCCTTGAACACTGACAGGCACTGAGCATCAGCCACCTCTTTTGGAAGTCTGTTCCAGAATGTGACCACTCTCATGGTAAAAACAATTACCCTAATATCCAGTCTTATCTGCCCTGACACAGCCTTGTGCAGTTTTCTCATGCCCTGTATCCAGTTATCAGAATCAATGCAGGCCCCACCTTGCAAGCAGCAGCCAGGCCTACATGGCTTCAGCCAGGGACGGCCATCAACCCAGGGACCAAGAGGGGTGAAAGCCGTGTGTCCTGCTGTGGCTCTGGAGCTGCTGATAGGAAGCACTGATTTCACTGCCTCCCATTCTGTCAAGGTAAACCCCGGCTGTTCTCAGATAGGGGAAATCTGTGCAAGGAGGCTGGAGACTGGAAACAGGTACATGGTGAGTCCCAGGTCATTTTACAAAGAAGGAAGTTAAACAGTCCAGGGAATCATATGGATTTTTTTTAAATGGCCAATTAAAACAATTCCATTTAAACACAGAAAAAATCATTGAATATTTTATCTAAATTAACTTGGAGGATCTTCCTTGGATTCCTACCATAGAATCATAGGTTGAACCATGGTTGAAAAAGATCTCCAAGATCACCCACTCCAACCATCCACCTATCACCAATATCTCCCCACTAAGCCACGTCCCTCAGTACAGCACCTAAACATTTCTTGAACACCTCCAGGGACAGTGACTCCACCACCTCCCAGCCCATTGCAGTGCCTCACCACGCTTTCAGAGAATTAACTTTTCCTAATACCTAACCTGCTCTTCCCTGCTCCCTCACTGCACTCTTCGTGCATATAGCCTTATCAACACCATTGTAACATAGTTTAGTCATGGTAAGGCTACAGTATTTCAAGCTTGCTCAGATTTGCACGATTTAACTCAGAATGGATGTGGGGCTTCCTAATAGTAAATGTAAAAAAAAAAAAAAAAAAAAAAAAAAAGAAAATAAAAAAAGAAAAAAATTAGTAACAACTTTTCAAATCTTCGATCACAAACATCTTCAGGATGCTTGTGAAAGTTGGATTAGTGATCCAAAGCAAATCTTTGCGCTGTGTCATTTGCATGCTCCCTTTTCTCCTGACTTCTAACAGGAGTAACAGATCTGAGGGAGGGCATTTACTGCAGATAACAAGTAATAAATCCACCCCCTTCTAAGCCATCAGTATGGTTCAAAACATAGGCCATAAATGTTTAATTCCTCCAAAACCTGTTTGAACGTAACTTGACAGCAACAATGAACGACTTCTTATCACACGGGTGGCCAGACAGACACTCAAAAGGAATCTTCCCATTTTTAATTCATCCTGCAGAGGAAGATAGGTCAATCCATGCTAGTGTAATGTGTTGCTGTTTGTTTTGTTTTTCATTTGGACTAGTGTGCAAACTGTGAGCAGACTGAGGATTTTCTAAGATTATGAAACCATGCTTCTTAAAAACAGCAAATGCTTTGTCCCCAAGAGTAGTAATTATAGATTGCATTATATCTTCTTATTTAAAGTTTTAAAAGAGACAAAAATCCTATTAAAAACATACTAATTGGGCCCCTTGCTGACATGCACATAATGAGTCCAAATCTTACCAAAGCCTAAAATCTTCTCTCACTTTACATCTGATCCCTCTTTTGAGGGGTTAAATTCATGTGGATAGTAACACAAACTAAGAAACCAGGTTTTATTAAGCTTTGCAACTGTTTAAATCACAACCAAACCTCTCGTATGTACCATTACTATTCTCTGTTACTGAAATATGCCTATCAATATTCCCTCACTACCAACTAGTTACACCAAGAACAAGTCTTCCAACTTGTTTGTACTGTGAACTTTCTCTTATGTATGGATTGGGAATCTTTTCAATAGCCATGCAGCCCATACCAGGGCTTAGGTGACAAGGGCAGAAAACACAACCTGCATCAATTCAGTAGTCAGACAGCGAGCCAGAGCTGAAGTGCTTGCTGATGTCCAGCTGCCTTATTGAAAAGTTATTTTTCTGTTAACCACAAGTGAATGTATTCCTCTCAACAACAGTGGACGCATCATTAAAATGCTGTTACTTCCACAGAGTTGCAGCTCCAGCCTGCACTATAATCAAAGGTGCTCACTAAACTTATTGTTTCTTTCTTTCATCAATTGCTCTGCATTGCTCAACCTTATTCCCTTCAGCTCTACTATCTGTCATCAAGAGTGTCACCAAGGACTAGCAGTACTTAAGCGGTGACACTGCACATTTCATCTTCAAAGCACTTCAGCTTCCAAGTACTTTACAAATGAGCTAATCCTCATTTGTCTGTCTGGGTGGAGGAACAAGATCTCCAATTTGGCCCCTATTTCTCCAGCTGCACTGAAATTAAGCAGCTAGCCCACAGCTGTAACCTCTGGCATAAGCCAAAACACATGCAGAACAGAGAAGGCTGAAAGGACCTTCTGCCGTCTGACACCGTTGCACTGCTGCCCTCTCTACAGGTCTCACACTTGCATATTTGAGCTGATTGTGTCCTAATTGCAGCAGCTTTCTCTCACATCTGGTGATATTACACTCTCCAGCCTGCCCATCTCTAGACTGGGACTTCTTAACAGCAATGAGACTTCCAAAGACCCTTGTGAAGTGAAGAGGGATTTTCAGAGAGGAACAGAGCACTTGTATTCTTAATTAGAAAACATCAATTCGGTATCAGAGAGGCAAAAGACATTTAATATACAGCTAGTGTGCTAACCTCTGAGTCTCAAGTGGTAGATGCTACACCAAACTTTTCAGATGAAACACTTGCAACCCCAGATGGGCCAGAAGAACCTGCTATTCTTTCTTCTGCAAAAACGTGAGTGCTTCACATCTCAGAAGTGTAATGGAAAACAATGTAAGCTTTTAGAAACACATCAGATGGATCTGTGGACGTTCTGTGTTGTTGCTCCTATTTGTTTGTTTGTTTTTTTAAATTCAACAGAATATGCTATTTTTTAAAAAAGCTAAGGAACTGAGAGGTACACTCTGCCCTCCATACATAATACATATGTTAAGGTTAATATTTCATTGTTTTTAAACCAGATTTTTAAGGGAAACATTTATTATTGCAAAGACTGGTAAAGCTCAGAAGGTTCTACCAAAAAAAAAAAAACCACCAAAAAAACACCGTTTGTTTTTTGAGGAAAGAACGTTGACTTCACTTTCTGTAAAACTCAGTGCTATCAGAAGGTGCAGAGAATAAAACTGGCCTATATAGACACAGAAACGGTACAGCAGCAGCAGACTGTTTAGTGTCAGCCACCAGCATGCTTCAATGCCAACACACAGGGATGACTTTGAGAAACAGAGGACAGACTCCATAACAACTCCACTCATTGTTTCACTTTCCATGGTGGCAGCTAACTACAGCAGGCTTTCAGGAAACTTGCAAGAGGACAAGAGACTCCCACAAGTACAGTTCACTTAAATCAATGATAAACTTTCATAAAGCAATGGCTGTGACTACCAGGATGTCTTCCAAATACAGAACTCTGCACAAGAGTCATTAGTATTTTCCAAACTCATTCAGTGCCTACACAGAGTCCTGACTTTACTCCAGTCACAAGGAACATAGCCTTCAACATCTCAGTAACACGAAACTCTGGACAAGAATTCCAGACTACTCAGGAAAAAAAAGTACAAAACCAAACTAAAACAAAGAAACAAAGAAGACCCCACCTGCACTCCTTTTCCTCCTGAGTAAGAGTAAGAATAAAACTCTGGTTATTTCTGTCTTCCTTACATCAGACTGGGAGAAAGACTCCAGTGCTCACAGCTACTAGTAACAAAGCCAAGAATGACCATCCCCTAAAAATAAGCACCATATAACCAAACCATTTTGTGTTCTTCAGGAGAAATGATTTGGCTTGGAAGCAACGTCAAAGATCATCTAGTTCCAAACTCCCTGCCACAGACAGGGCACATTCCATTAGACCAGGTTACTCAAAGATCCATCCAAGCCGGCCTTAACCACCACCAGGAATGGAGCACCCATAGGCAATTTGTTCCAGTACCTCACCGTCCTCTTAATGAAGAATTTCCTCTTAACATCTTATCTAAATTTCCCCTTTTTTTTGTTTGAAACTGTTCCTCTTGTCCTATCACTCCTGATCACACGGAACAGCTGAGGGACTGTTTGTAGTAGTAACAACAAGCAACTACCTGAAGTCTGTGGGGAAGCTTCTACTTCCAAATTTGCAGAGAATCTCTCACTTTGAGCTCCGAGAACTCCAACAGGCAAAGACTGGTCACCAGAAGCAAGATCTCCTTCCAGCTCCTCACTTATGGGGAAAGTGATATCACTAACAGGCTCCTCCTTAATCTTCACAGGCTTTGTGTCTTCTGCTGCCTTTTCAGGGTTGACAATCTTCTCATACTCTTCAGAGAGCTGCTTGCTAACCTGTCAAAGATCAGGGAAGATAGAAAAAAAAAAGAGAGACAGGAAAGGTCACAGTGATTTCAGAGACTTTGATGACAGTTACATTGCAGTGTGCTTTCCACTTGAGTATTATTGTCTGATGTGGCTGAACAAGTACAGAGTCGTCAGCTACAGGAAAAAAAAAAAGATCCTTTCCCCCTTTAAGGAAACCTTCTACCCTTATCAAGGAACTTTAAAAGAAGGCTTAATTCCTTAACACATCTGCTTGATATACACGAGCAGATTTATTTCACAGACAGAAACTACGAGGCCCAGAAATTTAAGCAGAGGAAAAAATCAAGACAGAAGTACTTCAGTTTTATTCTTCGGTTGTACCTCTAAGGTTTTTCTGTCTATCAGTACTAAAACTTACTCCAGCATTAAGAAACAAGATTAGAAATTCATTAGGTTCTATAGTCATCACTAGCAAAGTCTGGTTACCCTCAATGAGATTCATAGCAAAAAACAAAAAAACAAAAAACCATTTTTCTCCAGACCACTGAAATGCAGGAATGAGATTTGGAACAATCTCCTTGCTTCTAGAAGTGTTAAAACTGTAAGCAATTAAATTAAGACTTCCAGATTTAGTCTGCTTGTAACAAGCACTGGTTTGTACCACTTGAATCCCAATGTTCAGTCAACTGTGTTCAGGAAAAGCCCAAAGCCTTTTTAAACAAGAAGAAAGAAAAATAACATCAGAGCTTATTTCCCCCTTCTAGACAAGTTTCTAAACACAGGGTTAGCGTGGACCTTAGCTTATATTAAAACCACAATAAGAAAGACAACAACTGGCTGCAGGATGAATTACATCAGCTGAATGATACAGAAAACCCAAATTCCAGAAAGAAACAACATCCAGCTATCAGGATGCAAACATTAACTACAAGCAGCTTCGCAGCCCTTCACACCAGGGAGGACAATAAATAAATAAATAAATAAATAAATAAATGCCCAACAACACAAGAGTATCTTTTAACTAATGCAATCATGCAATCAGTCCTTTGGAACAAAACACTTTTAATGAGGACAAATCTTGATGATGCTATTTTTACGCACAAGCCAGAGTCCATCACAATTTACATACTACATGTAGTTATAGGTGTTTCTGATTTATGCTACCTCTGTAATACACAAGGTGACAACCATGGGATAGGAAGAAGCACAAGCAGCTGCCCCAAGGTGAGTCAACTAGCACTCTCAAACAGCATGACAATGAGGAAGAGAAAGATGATTTGTAGTAGGTTTTGCCTTTGGTCACAGGCCACCTCCTTGATTCAAATCTCAGTTTTTGATGAGTTTGAATAAAGTTCCCGCATCAACTCTTGCATTCCTGAAGCTCTTCTGTCACTCAAATAAAACACACATTCAATTCCACAGAATATATGGACCAAGAAAAACTATGCCCTCACTCATACAACCTACATTTACATGGCACCTCTCATTCCCAGGAGATTTAACAATTCCTCACCTTTCACCACAGAAATACAGTTCCCTATAGATAATCTTGTTAAATAACTCATATCAGTACAGTATTAGTCTTATACTCTAATTGCTTAAGCAAGCCACCCCTTGCTAATGCCGAAACAAGCCATTGTACAGCTAAGTAATTTTTGCTCATTTGCTCCCTTTATTTATGAACTGGTAAGCAGCCAAACATCCCTTTAAAGCAAAAAAGTTCAGTTAATCTGTCATTACTGACTTTACTTTGACTTTGGGTCATCACACAGCTGGGGGCCTCCCCTTAAACCCAAACTATCAACACAGCACTCTTAACCTCTGTAGGGACACAAATAAGTCATCTCCGCCAAAAAAGCCTATTTCCCCTTACCTTTGTGACTCTTCTCCATACCATGAGGTTTTCTAATTGGAAAACCTCCATAATGTTAAGGGAACAAACAATTGAGCCATGCTGCCCACTCACCACTGCTCCTCTCACCTGAAGCATATAGCTGTGATAATCCTTAATGCGGTGCTGCCAGAACTTCTGCAGTGAGAGCACGCTGCCAATGCCCACTTCATGAAAGACCTGCTCCATGACGTCTGGGAAAGGGGTGTGCCCCAGTCGGGCTTCTCGATCCACAGCAAAGCGTAGCAGTTTGGTGAACTTCAAGCAGTACTCGTGGGCTATGTCTGTCAGGGTCTCCAGGACGCTCTCGTTGGCACAGTCAAAGCCCGTGTGAGCCAGGATAGTGGCCATTGACTGGTAGAGAAGCTGCCGACAGGAGGACCAACTCAGCTCAGTCACAGGCTCCCCTTTTCCTCTAAAAAAGCAGAAAGGAGAAAAAGAGCACATCTGCAAAAACTCAAATGATTTATCAGTTCAAAACATATTTTCAATATGATCTACAGAGGGAAAGCAAGTTGTTTGGAGCTCACCACAGTTTCTCCATTACATAAGAATACATCTAGCACAGGTTTATCAACTTTCCTTCTCTTTCCCACAAAATCAGTGCTACTGAGTCCCATTTTCACTTTTAATGCCATAAGAATCCTTGGGTGATTCATAAGTGTGGGATGCAAATCTTCTGAATCCTTAAGCAACTCCCTTCCCACCAAAGAGCTTTTCTCCTAGAGAGGTGAATTAAACGGGTACTTGACACAAACAACAAAGAAAGGCATTTTAAATAACAAATGCAAATCATTTCCCCTCTCAGTTAATTACATTTCTTTTCCTTATTATCTCTGATGTCATAGGCCTAATAGTCAGATACAAAGGCTTCTGGGATAGACAAGATTTGAATTTATAATGCACAAGACACACATAAAAAGTCAGAAATGGGAACATCTCATAAAGCTATACTGTGGCCAGAAAGACCACTTCTATATCCTTACTCCCAATAATCACAGAGCGTGACAGAGAACTAGGTATCCCAACTTGCGACACAGCAAGTAAACACATTGCCTCCCAAGAAGCCTGCAGAGCTTCTGCCCTGAAAGCAGCATTCCTTGGCCTTGGGCATGAGACCTCTCTTCTCTGTTCTGCTAAGCAGGAATATGTGACAGTGTAGGACACAGGAGACAGCACAACTGACATGAGCACTTCCCAAATCATTCAGGTACAGTCAAGCAACCAAATTTTTCAACATAGTGTGATAACAAACAGATATTCCACGTAGGAAACAAAGAAGATGAGCTAGGAGAAGTTTTAACAAGAAATGTAAACACACTTCTATCATATTTCTAAACTCACAATTAAACGTATGCCATTTATTCGCCCATAACAATCCTCAGCTGCTGATGTCAAAAATCAAGTATCCTTTTGCTAAGTACGGTGTTTATTTACTTTCTTCCACTCCATTCGGAATCAATGGCTGAAGAAAGCTAGCAATTTCACCCTTCATTTGTTTCTGATCAATTTCTTCCAACATCTCATTCAGCCCACTCTGAGACTTTGTCTCATTCTCCATACACTATTTGCACACAACCTCTCCAGTAACAAGACCTGATTAAACAACACCAATGATTTACATAGAAGGCAACAGTAGTCTTGGTAAAATTCTCACTATTCTGCTTCTCCAACAAGCCATTGAGAATCTTTCATTCTCACTGAGACACTGGGTCACAGAGCCACAGCTCCCGCTGATCCTCAGAACTGACCCATACTAAAACATAGCAGTAGAAAAAGATAACATTACAGAGAACTGACAATGGGAGGTTAAGCTCAGAGCTATGAGAACCAAAGCCCAGTGGTTCATTTTAAAGAACCAGCTCAGCTCAACACTTTCTGCTTATTCAAGTAAAGAGGCAGAGGGGTGGCAAGCACACTACATTAAGAGCTGCAGGTGCCGATATTACTAAGTGGATATTAAGAACAGCATGTGGATCTCAGGTCATGGATTCATCCCAGTCATTAATTGCTGGAAAATGACTCACATCCCAGTTTCCTACTCAATTATGTGAGTACTAAGGAAAGAAAACAGCCGGTGCTCTGACAAAATGAATTAAAAGCTCATCAGTACCCTTCTAAACCAAGTGCCATCCGTGCTGTTTTTACATCTCCCTAACTATGCCCTCCATCTCTCAGGGACAGATTTCTGCAGCTTACAAAGAGCTGTACAACTCATACAGTGCTGGGAAAAGGAGGTTACAACAACAACAACAAAGAAAGAAAAAAAAGGGAAAAAAGGGAGGTGGGGGAGGGGGGGGGGCAGAGTGGGAGGGGGAAGAAAGAAAGAAAAACAACTGGAAAGCAGCCATCAAAATGTGCACCTAAGAAAGGATTTTGGTACCAAAACGGTACCAAAACTGTACCAAAAACATTAAACACTAGTTTACAATTAATACAGAAGCAAATAGCTGCTACTGATGGTTTGTCAGTCATACAAAGCATTATGGGCAAACTTAAGCGCTAGACACAGAATGTGGCAGCCCAAGCAGAATATTCAGCCAATTCTGAAGTGAATATGCATATAGGAATGCATATCACTGTTCAGGAAGCAGCACAGAACGTCATACCTCTTTTAAATTCCTAGAGGAGAAGAAACTAATTGCCAGCATTAAAATGCAGCTAGGTCACTGTGCTGAAAGGGATATAATCAACTTGAAGTCTAATCAATTAAAGACAGAGAGAAAAGAAATTTCAGGTACTGTACTCAAATCCAACTCCCCACTTCTTGTTCTTGCTAAGGTCAATCAATTTTGTTTTGTTTTTCTTATTTTTCCTTCCTTTGATTTCCTGTTTTCCACGGCAAACAATAAAGGGAAGATGATTAAAAACCTGATTAGACAGGAAAAAAAAAAAAAAGGAAACATTGCTATAGACATTAACAGAAAACAACAATATCTTTTTTTCTTCATCTCCTTTAACTTGCAGGTACCATCTAATAAGATGAAAAATAAACAGAAATAGGCATACAGACACATTTAAGTTGAGAACAGCTAATGCCAAGTCTTCCCAGCAAACTTCTTTCCTCCAGTCATCACAGGTAAAGTGCACTGGTCTTAGATCTCATCCAGATGCCCAACAGCTCCACGAGCAGCTCCCCAAATACTACTATGCAGCATGCCATTCTCTGCAGTACTTGCTGCTTTACCAAAAGGCTCTTCATCTAGCTGCCACCTGAAACCAAACCTAGAGATTAACAAGACCAGCAGGTAGGCCTATGACTTGGAGGTGATCATCCCTATGGAGGATACAGTATGAAACTTATCACAAACACTGGCCACCTTCTCACTCTTCAGTTTCATATTCCCAAATTTCCATGACCATTTCCATGGGTCACTAACACCAGATGACGTTCCAGACACAAATCAACCTGCCAAGATATAACAAATTCATCAGGTCCAAAAGCTGAGCCCTCTTCTACTGCTACCAACCCATGTGCAACATGCAGAACTTTACACCAACACACGAGAAAAAATGACCAGTTTACACCAATTGGGCTCATTTTCATCATTCATAAGGTTTCAGAACTCACAAAAGGCTCATTTTCTCAGCCAGTTAACATGACACACGGCCAGCCCCCAAAGGCACCACAGTCCATTCACCCCAGCTCCTCTCCTGTAAAGACTTTTTTCTGAAAGGAAAGGAGAGCTTATGGTCCATTTGCTGCGCCACCTCGGGGAAAGTGTTCGGGCTGAGTCAGTACAAACATCAACAGCTGAGGTTTACTCACCTGCGGTAATGGACTGAAGTGCTCTTCTCCCACATAGGAGAGCATAAGCTAGTGGCAGATGGAGGGAGGGATTGTTTTCTTATGAACACATTAGTTTTAGGAAACATTTCATCGTAGAGTTGAATTTCTACCAAATTAGGTGCATCAAGCCATTTTTCCCAACACGATAAAGTAAGGACAACATTGGGGGAAAAAAAAAGAGATTATACTAATCAGAGCGTATTGGTGAACAAAAACACCAATTCAAAATGAAAAATAAGCTTCCTTTTGGGAAAGGACTTCTTTCTGCCTCATCCTGAGTAAGCCTATTTTCAAATAGCTCTGCTTTGCCTGCAGGAGGATGCCCAGGTATATACAGAAACTGTTCAGTAGATAATGGCAACAGGTAATAGCTAACGTTCGGAAAATAAATTGGGTCCCAGTGGGACAATGCAGAATGCCATAAAGTTTAGGAGGTGGAACTGCAATGCTTCATCCAACAGGCTAAGCATGTTCTGCCTGCTCTGATTTCTACTACTCCAAATCCCCCTCAACGCTAACCCTGCTATCCCACCAACATGCACTTCCCTACTTCTGTACAAACATTTAACTATTAGACCTTCTGCCATGAGCTCTCATCCCATTGCGAGCTCACAGTTCAACTCTCAGTTCAATACAAAGCGCAAACGTGATGTGGTCAGGAACACATGAGAGAATGACAGAGAAATCCGTTAAGAAAGCAACCATGTACACACACACACACACACACACACACACAAAATCCTCTGGAGGGCAGTACAATTAGTAAGTTAGGCTTCTTTCGACAATGGATCCATATTAATAGGGGGAAGCTGAACAGAGAGGAAGGAAGAGCTAACAGCCATATTATGGTAAGAATCTCCTGTTGAAATGGCAGTTGTAAGTTTACAGTTCCTTACTTATTCCTCATCAACTATGCTTTGAATTTACCATCTGTTTCTATACCAGCCAAAATCAAATGTTAATCTCCTATCGTGTATTCCAAGAACGGTGTATTCGTGTATTCCATCAACAGTTGCAAATCACCAGGACCAGATGGCAATCCACCCAGGAATACTACAGGAATTCAGGGATGAAACATCTGAATACTGTGGTGAATCACCTCTTGCTTTAAGGTGCCACGGCCCATGAGAACCAGAAGGTAGGAAGTGTGATAATACTCTTTCAATGTATTCAGGGGGAAAAAAAAAAATATGAAAAACTACAGGCTGGTAAGCCTGTACTATTCTGGTACATCAGGAAAATTCACAGAAATGATAAGAACAGAGTTAGAGGACAGATGGGTAAATAGGATACCTTCAGAAAGACTCCAGACAGCTCCTGTAAGTGGAAAACCTGCTTCACAAGCCTTCCACAGCCCTCCAAAGCCATTGACAAGCAAGTATATAAGAGATCTACATTGGAAAGCTAAGGGCATTCCTCAAGGATCTGTGCCAGAGTCAGATATTTTTTTCCACATATTTATCCACAGCCTAAAAAAATGCAGAAAATGAACAGAGTCCTAATTAAATTTCTTGCTGGCACAGATTTCTGAAAGGGGTTGAAAAGGCCAGAAAACTGAAAAGTAGCAGTAAATTAGGTTCTGCCTCTTCCTCACCACAAAAGGGATGTGGAAAAAGGGATTACAGGTATGGTGTGGGGCAGAATGTGCTACAAAAAAAAAGAAGAAGAAAAAATTAACCAAGAGGTTAACATGCTGAAATAAAAGACAAGGCTGTGAGCTCAAAGGAAAAAATGAATAACAGGGAAAAAAAGAGAACACGGCTATATTAAAGAAACTTGTGGTCTAATTCAGGCTGGCCTCTCTTCCTTTCTTCCTAAGGACAAACATACCTACACACTACTTCTGAGACCGAAGTTACTAATAAAGAAAATGAAACTAAAATATGCATTTAGTCTAACACTGTAGCTCTGGCAACGACACACAAAAGGCATCATAAAACCAAGCAATATCATGTTTTGGCAAAAAGAAGAACGGTCCCTCCCTTGATTGTTTTACCCACTAAAAACAAGCACTGACAAATCTTGTAGGTCGTTTGCTTAAAATAGCAAATATGCAACAGCAAACCAAAAGCTTGCCTCCTGGAAAAGCAGAAATGTGTTCGGTTTAGCAGGCATACAGTTAAATTCTACTCTGTACCACGGCTCACACTAAATCAGTCGGCCACAAAGTGCTCCATTTCCAAACCGCCCATCTACTTATTGCAATCTAGTCCTTAAACTCCCCCATGTGGTTGACTGTTAAATAACATTTGTTTACCAGCACCTCGGAGACTCCCAAGGGACAATAAAAGGGCAAAGCGGCCCCCAAACCACGGTTAGGGCCACTGAAAATTTAAAGTTACAGCGAAAGGCATTAGAAAGGTCAGCACAGAAGACTGCAAGGTACGCAAGGCTACTTCAGCTCTACAAACCGTAACGCAATAAGGAGCAAGAGGCACAGGGCTCAAGCTTATACACATGGGATATTCCCTCATCCCTTCAGGCAAATCACTTTATTTCATCCCAGAAGGATGAAGGTGATAATTTAGGGTTACCTTCTGTTTCTATACCAGGCAAAATCAAACGTTAATCCCCTATTGTGTATTCCAAGAACTGTAACATCAACAGTTGCAAATCACCAGGACCAGATGGCAATTCACTCAGGAATACTACAGGAATTCAAGTTTGAAATATTCAAATTGTTATCCCAACTGAAACCAGGACATAATGTTCCTCCAAAAACAGCACTAAAGTCTGGCTCCACTATGCAGAGAGACAATGTTACCAAAAGGAACATCTTTCAATAAAAAAATCCAGGCCATAAAAGATCTGACACATTTAACCAACTATATTTCATGGATGTAAGTTTTCCACATTTGAAAATAAATGAAAGATATTGTTTTCTCCTATATCACATTTATTGGAGCAGCCTTAAGAACAGTGAGGATTAACCTCTGAATTTAAATGCACGGTCTAAGAGGTACCATGAGATCCTGCAAAAAAAGGAGCAACTCTGTGTGAATGTAGTGTTCATCAGAGGGTTGGCAAGGAGGAGGTGGCAATATTGTGTAAACAAAAATCAGTTGCAAAGGAGCAATGCAACCTTCCTTTCTATTTCCTCAAGTCCTTGGCTGGTGGAACCAGCATTGGAGAGACAGGAGCTACCTTCACCAGCACTCACTGCCATCTCTGACCAGGCTACAAACACTGACAGTAGGATGAGATGGCAACACCATTCATCCTTGGGCACTGAAATCTTACAAGTTACTAATTAACAAAGCATATTCTCAGAACCTAAAGGGCCAACACCCAGTTGTGTATCTTCTGAATTGTCAGAATACAGACAGTCTAATAGTAAGTGACCTAAACATAAAAGACTTCGCATTCAATAACTAGCTTTATCAAAATACCATTGAAGATGGCAAAACAACCATTAAGCTGAGTGCTAATGAGACAGAAAACAGCACTACACATCTGCATTTTATAGACAGAAAGCAAAGACACATTTGTTTTAAACAAACTGTATGTTGCGTGCATCTCAATCTTTCTGTTCCTAGGCCTATTTTATTCTTTTCATACAATTCATCAGCCTTAGGGAATTGACAAAACAACATATATATTTAAGAACACTCAGCTGTCCTGCAGACAGGATTCATAGAATCATTAAGGTTGGAAAGTACTCTAGGGTCAGCCAGTCCAACCACCAACCCAACATCACCATGCCCATGAGCCATGTCCCGCACTGCCACATCCGCATATTTCTTCAACACCTCCAAGGATGGCGATGACTCTACCACCTCCCTAGGCAGCCTCGTTCCAACACTTCACTGATCCTTCTGAGAAGAAATTTTTCCTAATTTCCAACTTGAAAGAAGCCAAGGAAATACCACACACCTGTAGAAATCACTTTCTGGGTCACTGTGCCTCAGTTGGAATGGCATTTTGGGGGGCTTGCTGTCCAGAGGAAGCAGGTCATCGGGGAGAGGCGGCGAGGCTGGACGAGAGGGCAGAGGTTCGTTGTCTTCTGTCTTGATGCCCTCTGCTTGCTGCTGGTTTTGTGCCTGGGCCATGGCGATGAGGCTGCGCAGCCGCCGGTTGTGCTGGATGAGCTGAATGGTGTGGATGGTGAGGCTGCAGGGCTCGGAGGGGACATCCAGCATGGTGGTGGGCCGCGGTTTGTTGGCTGACGGCTGGTGCAAAGGAGGGTCCTGCACCTCCACCGTGCGGAACTCCCGCTGCAGCAGGTCAAAAGAGCTGCGGTTGGCCTGGTTGGATGGCACCGGGATCTCGCCCCAGTAGCGCAGCATTGTGACACAGGATCGTCCTCACGGCACCGGGAAGGCTCCCCAACACGAGCTGTGGGGAGAAACTCTCAGCTTTGGGCAGCAACAGACTGGTGCCAGCCTCGGAATAGAGCAAATAACTGACGGCAAGAAAACTCTTCTGAAGTCACCGTGAGAAACCCAGCTTTCCAGACAGCATCAGGATGCAACGTCCGTGCAACAGATCGCACAGCTGCTTCTCCTAAGGGGGAAAGAAGAAAGCAAAGCAGCAGCGAGGAGGGAACGACTTTAAGCAGAACGGCGCTGCGCCCCAGCCCCGCACAGCGATCCGGGCTCTGACTGGCGCCGGGAAACTCGGCGGAGGGGAAGGCCGCAAGCTCGGCCCCGCCGTACCGCGCTCCCCTCCGCCCTACCGGAACTCGGCTTCGGTCCGCCGCCAAACGCGGCACCCCGCAGCAGCCGCGCTCCCGCACGGAGCTCCGACGGCCGCCGCCACCCTTCCCCGTTATCCTCCCGCCCACCCCCGCCGGTCTCGTCCCTCGCGCTACCCCCAGCCGTGGCCGAGGCGACGGTGCGAACCGCAGAGCCGCGCCCTTCCCTCCGCCCGGTACCACAGCCCCGGAGGCGCTCGTGCCCGGAGGACCCTATTTGGGGACGGACGAGACAAGATGGCGGAGGCCATGGAAACGGAGACCGAGCCCGCCGAGTTCAAGCGGCCGATCCGCCCGCTGCCCGTTCCGCAGAACGCCGAGCCCGGCCCCGCGCCCAGTCTCGGCCCCTCGCCCGGCCCCGTGCCGCCCCGCCCGGTCGCCTCAGTGCCGGCACCGCGCTACGAGGAGCCGCCGTGGGGCGGCCGCCCGCCCGCCGATGCCGGCTACGGGCTGGAGGTGCTGAAGGGCGGCGTGCTGCTGGGCTCGGTGCGGCTGGAGGGCGGCAGCTGGTTCCTGGTGGGGAGGCTGCCCGGCTGCGCGCTGGCCCTGGAGCATCCGTCGGTGTCGAGGCACCACGCCGTGCTGCAGTACCGCGGCCGCTCCTCCGACGGCCCCGACGCCGATGCCGGCTTCTACGTGTACGACCTGGGCAGCACGCACGGCACCTTCCTCAACAAGGCGCGGGTGCCGCCGCGCACCTACTGCCGTGTGCGGGTGGGCCACGGACTGCGCTTCGGCGGCAGCTCCCGCCTCTTCCTCCTGCAGGTGGGCCGGGAGAGGGGATCGGAGATTGCACGGCGGCTTCCCCCGGTCACACGCGGCAGTTCAGGTGGCTGTGCCCACACAGGGGCCTGGAGCGAGAGGGAAACGCTTCAGAGATGGGGGGGCGGTTCGACTGCACTCATATCAATTTAAGCAGGCTGCCCAGAGGAGCTGTGAGTGCCCCATCCCTGGAGGTGTCAAGGCCGGGTTGGATGAGACCCTGTGCAACCTGTGATGGTGGGAGCAGCCCTGCCCATGGCTGGGGCTTGGAAATGAGCGGGCTTTGAGGTCCTTCCATCCCAAACCATTTTGTGATTCCTTGTGCCCAAAAGAGGACTTAGCTGCTTGTTCCTCAAATGCTTCCATTGTGGCACTGGTGGAAATCCTTGCTTTCTGCCTTTAAAGCTGTGTTTGAGCTGCCTACAACTAAACAGTAATGCTCATCTCTTTTTGCCCCCTTTGGCCACTGAAATTGATATATCTGAGCATGCACTCTATAACAATTGGTCCAGTAATTCAGCTTTTACATGAGCACTGTGATCCGTTTATGTTACTACCTGTAATTTGCACTCCTATTGAAAAGAAGTGTTTTTTTTGTTTTTTTGTTTTTTTTTTTCTTATCTAAAACACTTTCATAAAGTTGTTCTTTGTGACATAGGGACCTGAAGAGGACCAGGAGTCTGAGTCAGAGCTGACCGTGACACAGCTGAAGGCACTGCGGAAGCAGCAGCAAGCAAAGCTGGAAAAGACCATGCTGGGAGAGGATTCTGATGAGGAAGATGAGAAAGAGGAGCAAGGAAATGAGAGCAGTCAGAATGTTGATATGAGCTGCTCATGGGGAATGGGTGAGTACTGATACATAGATGAGCTGATACACCTTGGGACACTTTTAAGTGAATTTTCAGTGAGCACTGGCATTGAAATTCCAGTTGGATTCCAAAGCCAGTTTTATAATCAACAAATATATAGATGTTATAATTATGAAATAAACTAGAGAGTTAGGCAAAGCAGGTTATAATAATAAAAAGCGAATAGATAGAAAGCTTACCTACATCCTGGGCTTGCTGCAAAACTGCAGAGGAGGGATCTCCAGAGAGATCCTTCCCCACTGGGAGTCAGCTCTTAAATGGGGTCTAGGAAGGTGGAGCCAGGCTCTACCCCTTCCAGCAGCACAGGTGAATTGCCTTGCTTGGTGGCTGACTCTCTGCTCACCTCAGGTGATCAATCAGAGTTTCAGGCTAGTTACCATACACCAGTGAATGTTTCTGAGTACAAATTGGCCCTTTTTAAAAATAGGAGTGCTGTGAGAAGGCAAAACAGGGAGAGGTTTTTTATTGTTTTTTTTTGTTTGTTTGTTTTGTTTTGTTTTTTTTTTTTAATTGGGGAAAAGGGGGTTTGTCTGTACTTCAAAAATGACATGAAACTGAGAGTTTAGTTTTTGCAGTGTTGTTTGGGTTTTTTTTTCCCATGTTGATGTCTTTGCGTGGCAGGTGGAATTTTAATACTTGAGACTGCTTATGCAAGGAGGCTGTCTTCAGGTTTTTAATATGAAGTCCACATCTTAAATAGTTATTAATGAGCTTTTCAGTACAAAATGGATTGTTTTGTGAGTTAAAATGTGTAAGCACATAAACCCTTGAAAGTGCAGAAACAGCACTGACATGTGCAAAACTGTATCTTAAAACAGAATAACTAATAAGTATTTTTTGATTGGATACAGAAACAGCTAAAGCTTATCATTGTAGGATGATGTAGCTGATACTTCTTTCAAAATGACAATATTTGAAACTATTTGGTGTTCTCATTCTAACTTTTCACCATTTTGTTTTTATTTTGTATGTTGCTCATCCAGGGGAGGATGCTGAGGAGGACGAGGCTGAAGAAAACCCTATTGCTATTGAATTTCAGGATGTACAAGATGCCTTCTATATGAAGGATCCCAGGAAGGCTCTGCAGGGCTTTTTTGACAGAGAAGGTATTTTTTACTTGTAGATTATTTTTGTTTAGTAGAGTTGGGTGTTTCCCATTTTTCTCTGGGAATTAAAGTGTGAAAGTAAAACTTTACATTGTGGGCAGGGCTTTTTGTTTTGTCAAGGTTTTGGTGTTTTTTGATTTCTAACTTCTCAACTGGAAGTTGCAGAGAGCACCTTGTGTTTCTCTGGAGTGGCACTCAAATCACATCCATCTTTTGAATCTATTGAAAAGTCCCAAACCATTAAATTCCAGATGGTGCTATTCAGGAGATAGAACTGGAAAGTATTGGAAGACAGTGAATGGATTCAAGCTTACCAATGGCTTAGGTACTTTTTAACATGAGAAATTAATCTTCAAGGGAAACAATATTTGTAAACCCAAAATGCAAACTGTTGTTGCCTCAGTATTATTTACTTCTGTGCCTGCAGGTGCAAGATTCTTTTTTTCTTTGATCTGTGTTCTACCAAACAGGTCACTTAAAGATCCTTGATTGTGAAAAATGTCCAAATGAGCTTACTATCAACTGAAGATCACATGGCCTAAAAAAAAAAAAAAAAGAAAAGAAAAAAAGAAAAGGCAAATTTTCTCTGCTCTAAAGTTTATTCCTTCTTACTTCATCTTTGCTAACTACATCAACTTTCATTTTTTCCTCTCCAGGAGAAGAGTTAGAATACGAATATGATGATCGTGGGCACAATAGCTGGCTATGCAGGGTTAAGTATGTATAACTTCATTCACTTTTGTACGTAGAAACTGGCTTCATTGAATTTACAAACAAAAACTGAAGGAACTACTTGTCTATCATGCTTGCCAAGGAAGCCAGCCAGAATTAGACTTAAGTCCTGATACTAAAAAGGTCAAGGATCAGCGTCTACTTCAGTGTCTACTACTTTTTCCTGATCTGTCAGCATTTAATGCTACTAAAAGATCAAAATTGGGAAAACATGACTGCAGGTTCTCTCAGTTCCCCTTGTTTTCAGAAATATGTGAAATTGAAATGCAAGACAAGTAACTAGGAAGCAGTGTTTTAATTCCTAATGGAAAAGAAGATGGAAAAAAGCATTTATTCTACTATGCACCCCAGTTCAGTTATGTGATGGTATAATGTAGTTTTTGTTGAATCCCTTCCACTGGCCAGTAACATCATTCCCTTGCTAAGCAGGAGAAGGTGAGCAGGTGAGAAGTAAGCAGGATAGGTGTCAAATAGCAGGCACAACATCTCATCATTTCTTAAGGAAGCTTTGCTTCAGTATGGCACAAAGTATTTGTTACTGGTGTTGTGTAGATACAAGAGGAATGTGAATGGAGGAAGATTTCTTGTTTGGGCTAGCAAAATAAAAATCTGCTTAAGCTTAGAAAGTGCGTGCTTGTGTTTGGGTTAGTAGTGTATCAGATGAAATGTAAAAATAGGTAACCCACAAAAAAAGACTATAGAGAGGTGGAAGAAACAATGTCAGCATGACAAGCACAGTATGTGAGTAGCATCCATGAAAAGCTGTTTCTGTTGAAGCTGTTCTGTAATCCTTTGAACTGAACAGATTGCCTGTGGACGATGCATCAGGGAAGCAGCTGGTAGCAGAGGTTCTCCATTCAGGAAAGAAGAAAGAAGCAATGATCCAGTGTGCACTGGAAGCTTGCAGGCTACTGGATGCTAGGGGAGTATTGAGGCAAGAAGCAGGTAAATAACCTGTTAAATGCTGAGCTAGTTCTAAAAAAAACCTGACGCTCTAGGAATTCAAGATTGCTCTACTGAATTTCTTTGACTTCTCAGTGGCCTGTAAATCATTTTGTTCCTTGCTTTCCTCCCTTAAACTTTTCCCAGTATCTCGAAAAAGGAAGTCAAAGAATTGGGAAGATGAGGATTTTTATGACAGTGATGATGACACCTTCCTTGATCGAACTGGTGCTGTAGAAAAGAAGCGACTGAACAGAATGAAAAAAGCTGGTAAAATAGAAGAAAAACCAGAGACTTATGACTCACTGGTAAGAATAATTATGACATGCCAGGCCTATTCTTTAATGAATGTATAATTACTAAGAAGGAAAGTTTAAAAACATTTCCAGATCTTTTTTTGTTGTTGTTGTTGTTAGCCTGAACTCTAGTATTATTTCAGATCTTTATTAATGGACCAGGTTAACACTGATGGTTATAGAATGCAATGCTTTTTAAAGTCTTGAGAGAAAAAGAATTGGATCTAAAAGAAACCTTAATATCAGAAAGTAATTTGTTACTTAAACATAATACTTGATGTACATCACACAAACCATTACTGGGACTGGTACTAACTCATACCTATCTGCTGCCTT